AGAGAGAGAGAGAGAGAGAGAGAGAGAGAGAGAGAGAGAGAGAGAGAGAGCCAACACCAGACGAGTTTTCTGCGATTCGAGAGTGAAAGCGATACGTGTTGTGACAAATTCGTTGGAATGCTGGATGGTGGGCGCACATGGTTGATGCAACGTTGTCCGCACGAGGCCATTTCACGCGCGGTGCTCTGTCGGACGTGCGAGTGTGTCCGCACACCGCTGCTCGATTTACACCACTTCAGTGACGCGGGGGTTAACGTGTGCACACACTACTGTGTCGAACAGTGTTCTAAACTCTAAACTCTATATGTACAGACTTATAGACTGTCTAGACTCTAGACGGTGAACTATCATCTCTGTACTCTGTACCACTAGTAAGAACTAAGAAGAATTCCGAGAAACTGTTTCCTGTCAACCTAATAGATTATTTTATACTTGGTAGGCAAGATGAACGCAAATTCGGTAAGCCTTTTCACAGGGACCATTTTACAACTTTTAACACGGTAGGGCTCGAAACTCCTTTAGAATTGTATATATTTTACTTTGTTTAGTGCGTTGAACCCTAAACTTGAGTGCACTGTTTACGAGCCTGAGCACTACCCAGGCTCATTATACGGTCCGGTTAGATTGTGGCCTCATAAATTCTCCTCAAAGGATTTATTATCCATATTGTCCATCGACCATAGAATTCTCTATTCGACGTTTACGAATATAGAACGTGTGGTTGTAACGACGGTACCAGGCGTGGGATACCCTAATTAGCGATGAACCTGTCAAGTAGTGGGGTTCTTTGTGAGAAAATCAATTGGAAGCATTGAACGTCTTTTTCAATCAAGGGTTCGTTCTCAAGAATTCATTCATCTTGATTAATTCCGAGAAAATCATCGTCGGAAATATCATATATGTATAGGGTATATGTATACCTACTCCTTCACTGCTTCTACTTTCTTTACAATGGTGTGCAATTTATTGGTACTTTTTTCGTGGATATTGGTAGATAAAAATAATACTCGGTGAATGAACAATGATTGCGGTTAATAAATGAGAAAAGGACTGTGTCAACTGTGTGAATAAGAGACAGGAAGGTGAAGGTTAATGTCATTGTGTAGTTCCGTTCCAAGGAACGATATCTACAATGAAACTATTCCACGGTTTGCTATTTATTCGCATTATCTCGGTGGATGTATCTCCCGAGGGAGATCAAAGGTTCCACTCAATTCAAATTTACTGCTACGCGAGCGTGTCTGCTAGAGCACACATTTATCGTTTGTCAAAGAAATCTCGCGTTATTCTCTCGCGTGTCGCGTGAAATTTTATCGATGGGGGATCTGGTTCACGGTTTCACGATCGAATTACGCGGCGGGGGAGAGCCAAACGATCACGCACGAAACGCGATGCCAATAAGAGTCGGAGAAATCAATTGTATGTATTATGTGTATCGAGTACGGGAGGGGTATAAACAATTAAATACCAAACGTTAACCAAACCGATTAAAGAAAAGAGAATCGAAATAGCAAAGGGTTGCATCCGTTTATATCTGATGAAATTCCAAGACAGATATTCTTGAAAATAGAGCCTACTTGAAACTAGAATCAGTTTAATTCCCCCCTATTAAAGCTTCTATCAGGCTCAAAGCAAAATTCAAAACATCACTGAACTTTGTTGATGCACCAAAATCAGTCGCAATACGGCGTAGAAAAAAAAATTCAAAGTGTCCAACAAGCATCGACGACGGGTAAAAGAGGTATTAATATTCGATAACGAAAGCATGGAATTAATTTCGGGTCTTCTTGTTCCTCCAATTGATCCCCACACCTTGACACGATTTCACAGAATATTACTGAAACAGCATTTCTAATAATATTACCGCGCGCGTCACTGAAGATGACCTCGAAGACGGTTGCTTGAAAAAAAAAAAAAAAAAAAAAAAAAGATAAACCAGTGCAGACTTGGTTTTCGTCGGAGTATCTATCGATTGTCCGTACCGTCTGAGCGTTAAACAAATTCTAACGAATAAGAATAGACATTCCCATAAATAAAAAAAAATAAATAAAAATAACACGTTGCACACACCGGTGAAAATATGGTGGAGAAAAAAATGAACAAACCAGGGGATACACGATATATGTATCACAGTTGTCAATCGAAATGACACAGAATGGTGTGTAGGTAGTGTATACACGTGGAAGTCGCGTGACAGAGAGCCGCCGATGCGATCCGCTCGATGAGCAAACGTCAACTGATCTCCTTGACTCGCTTGAGTAACCGGTTAATGCGCGCCGATAGGATTTAATTTCATCGTCTTCCGGGCACGGGGGGATCCACTCTGAGAACGCTTCTTCGTTCAGATAATGACTAATATTCCCCCACCAAAGAGTATGGATCCTCTCGTCTGCTGGATCGGACTACACGATTCGTCACGTTTATTGGAAAGCAATTTGCTCGAACGGAAACACGTTACGGGGATATTTCGAAATAAATCGAACGAGGATAACAAAGCCATAGTTCAACACGCCACCCAATGAATTGTGAACCGCGATCGGTGTCGTAATAATTACGCAATAATTGTTTTAGCAATGTCAATATTGTTTCCGTTTTTCGCATTACCGCTTGAACACAGGTTTGAGAATAACCCTTCCCCCCGTTTCCCCCATAAGGCTGGCTATTTTAAATTACCAAATAAAATATTGGTATTACGTACTTGTTCATATCTGTGAATATACATATACATACATATGTGTGTAATAATTTCTTCTGGTCTTGGATGGATTGTCGG